AGGGAGGAGAGAGAGAGAGAGAGAGAGAGAGAGAGTGTGTGTGTGTGTGTGTGTGTGTGTGTGTGAGAAACATCTTTTTATACATGTGATCCAATTATATCATCTCCATCTGCTGGCAACAGAAACTAAAACCCCCCTCAAAGTTATCAGGTACAAAGTGTTATAACCCTTAAGTCTCAACACATTGTTTTCTGTTCCTGTCCTAGAATGTTCTAACAAACTCTGGATATTACTGCAGAACCTCAGAGTTACAAACACTTTGGGAATGGAGGTTGTTCATAACTCGGAACAAAACATGGTTATTCTTTCAAAAGTTTACAACTGAACATTGATTTAATACAGTTTTGAAATTTTGCTATGCATAAGAAAAATGGGCCTTTTCACCATCTTAATTTAAACAAAACAAGCACAAAGTTTCTTTACCTTGTCAAATCTTTTTTAAAACTTTCCCTTTATTTTTTTAGCAATTTATGTTGGGGTTTTTTTTGTTTTGTTTTTTTTAAATCTCTGCTGCTGCCTGATTGTGTACTTCCGGTTCCAGATGAGCTGTGTGGTTGACTGGCCAGTTCGTAACTCTGGTGTTCATAACTCTGAGGTTCTACTGTAAGTACAGTTTTTAGTTAGAAATAAGTTAGGTCAGAGTGAGACTGTAACAAGATACAAATTATTAAATTTATTACATAAGCACATCTCTAGATACATTTATAAAGGTATGGCACAATAATCTATCTAATCCTTCAGCTGTGAAAAAACAAAGGAGAAAAATCAAATGCAGAGAAAGTTGTAATTTTTAACTATATGGGACAATTGTTTATCTGGTCTATAAACAGATACCCTGTATTAACATGTCTTGAAAGTCTAATACCTATTTGGTCTTAAATAAAGTTATATTAGGAAAATAATATAATGTAGGTTTTACCTAAAATATATGTGCATAATGAAATGATCTCAAACAGTATAATAGAAATATCAAGACTGGATAAAATTACAATGGGTTTTATCAGCATTCATTATACTTCACCCTTAATTTAGTGAGACATTTTGTATTACAAATTATATAAAATAGCAGGCATTTTCTATGAGGTGAATATAATATGCACAGTGCTTAATGGATCAAGCAGCAATATAATACAGAGGTCTACTTTCCCATTGGTTAGAATAGATGCAGACAACAGTGTAATGTTCCCACAACTATTTCAATTTTCAGGTAGAAACCTTTCTAATCACAGATACCAAATATAGTATGTAATAGTTTTGTGAGCCATTTAACTACATGGATTCTATATTAGACATCTTACAAGAAATAGCATGCATTAATCTTAATTAATCCTGTTACATGACAGTTTAAACCCAGTAAAACTCAACTCTAGAGACCTTATTAAACATAGAAAAAAACAAAAAACTTTTCTCTGAACACACCTAGAGATATCCATGCTAAGAACAAAACAGGTTAAAAACATTCTCCCTAGGAATCTAGTGTATTAAATGACTGGAAATAAAAGTATGGTACCAAATAGAAAAACCTTAAATTATTAATTATTTTATTATTATTTTTAACAAATATACAATGGTCACCCTTAACTTTTCAGTTGTACAGATGTAGGGAAGCAGAGAAGATGGCAAACGAGGTAACATTGTTTAAGAAAGGGATTCTAAAATCCTATACCGTGGATCACATCTTAATATATTGTAGACCATCTCCCTTCCCATTTATGATCAAATAACAATCCCCATGGAAACACTACAATTGCTTACTTGGAAATGTAATATTAGGAAAGTATTTTTAGGGGTTTTTAAAAATGTTATTTAGTAGCTGCAAATGAGGACTTAGCATCATGCAACTAAAGTTCTCCAGGGACCATCAGCAAGCCTTTGGACGCCTGGTGGTACAGAATTTTAGAACCACCAATGTAACGTTTAATTCAAAATTTTACAAAGTCAGCGTTGCTTTAGTAGTGACCACTAAAAGGACATTTATGGTTTTCTCCCCTCCTAATGAAAACTGTCTTAAGTTTTAAATTTGAGGGTCTATCAGCATTTTATTTATAAAGTTTATTATTTATAATTGGATTGTGACTCCATTTCTCAGGCTGACACTGCATACAACAGTTCAATCAGAGCAATGTTTGGCTTTTTGATTTGAAAACTCTCTTAAGTTAAAGAAAGGCACAAAAGCTAAGCCTGAGACTGTCAACTTATTGCAATTTTGATTAAGTACAACATTGCACAAATAGCCAATGAGCAGAGGTGCCATAATATCACAGTGGGGTGAATTTAAAGACCAAAGCTATTTTAATTATGATTCTATTGTGGGTTGAAATTACACCTTTAACAGTTTTTTTTAAAGATAAAATCAGGGTTTTAACTACACTAACCTTTTGTTGCATTTATCTAGTCATAAGGATGAAAATGGCCTTTGAAAGGCTAATGTCACAATGAAACTCAAATGAACCCCAATCCGCCAAGCTCATTTATAAATCAGACCTTTGGGTTCAGTACAGAGAACTAGCTCACTTAGGCACCAATGCTGCAGACTTTTACATATGAGCATAAATCTGAAGGATCAGGGTGTGAGACTTCATGTAATACAGAATACCAAAAGGATCTGTATGTAGTCATCCTGAAACATCTGTGGCTGATTAAAACACATATTAAACAATTTATCAAGTTATTCTATAGAATTTAATATTGTACAGATTAAATGGGCTTTAAAAACACACTTTTATACCTCAAACAAAAAAATAAATAAAAATGGAAGTTGCAGGACTAACTGCCACCAAATAATTGTTTTCAATTGTTGCAACATTTGTATGTACCAAAGTTGTATGATGAAACAGGTTATCAAGAGCTAAAATCCGCAATCATTCAAAAGTATTTAATCTTATTTTATATATAAAATTCTAACAGCTGTACAGGAATAATTTATCATCTGTTTATGAAGTTATAAGCACAACTCAGTTATGACAATGAGTTTAGTTTGAACAAAGGCATGTAGAGGACTGGAATAAAAATCTCATTATCAGTATATTGCTAATATGCTACATTGCAAGGGCAACAGTCACAAATGCATGTCCTAACATTGTGAACTGTGATAACACTTATGAAAAGCTTTCATTGTGTCTACACTATTAATACAACTATGCTGGAAAAGGTATGTAACCTAGGGAAGAAGGGGCTTTCCACTATTCTACTGACTAACATGTCAAGTCTAATCAACACTTGTGTGTGTGGTTATTGTAATTTTGCTGTATTTCTTTCAGCTGTAGCAATGGCTAAAAATATTTTACATAGCTGTAGACTAAAACTTAGTGTCACTCATCCTGTTTCCATATCTGAAAGATAGTGTAGATTCAATATGGCAAGGCTAAATACAGCAATTATTGAATAGTTACTCAAACTTCATTCCCCACAAACTGTTCTATATTCTCCTGAAAATGGTTTAGAAAAACTGAAAAATACAAAAAACCTACTGTGAATTAAAGATGACGACATTGGGACTAATTCTGCTCTTCTTATACACAAATAGTCACACTGATTTAACTGAAATCACTCATGATTAAGCTGACCAAGATTTGGCCAATAATTAGTAAATGGTCCTTCACACACAGTAATTAGGAAACAATTTAATTACCAAAATGAAACTTACATTAAACAGTTTGCCAGTTAGGTCTCAGTTCAATTTATGCACATTAAGTTGTAGAGGACTGTTCACATACATAAGTTGTATGCAGTGTTGTAGCCATGTCGGTCCCAGCATATTACAAAGACAGGGTGGGTTAAGTAATATCTTTTATTGGACCAACTTCTGCTGCTTGTCTCTCTCACCAACAGAAGTTGGTCCAATAAAAGATAAGACCTCACCCATCTTGTGTCTCATACATAAGTTGTGGCAGGCTAAGTACTTTAAAGTGTAAAGAGAGTTCTACTTACCAGTGATTCTTCAAAATGTTCATGTGTTAATACCTTTTTCCTTTTAGTAGTACAGAAATTTTAAAAAGCTAATTTTCATCTAACTAGTTCATACAAAATTAGTCTTCTCTGAAAATTTAAAATCTCAGATTCTAAACCTTACCAGGGAATTTATTGGTTTCTTAAATTATTCTCTTTTAAAAGATTAAGTAAAACAGATATAATTAATGCTTTAGAAAACAATATAAATTAATCACTAAGACTCTTAAAATGCAAAACAGATCCAGTTTGCAAAAACTGAGATGTAATGCAATATTAGATACCCAAGTAACTGACTGAAACCCTTCTCTTTCATATTAATCTTTGTAAAACAGGATTTTAGTGCATCTGACTCTTGACATGACTGAATTTTAATTAAATTATACTGCTTTTGAGTATAGTTTTCAATATTACAATTTTTTTCCAGAGGTAAGATCTGCAATAAGTAATATGAAATTGTAAAAACATGTTTATATTGTGATTTGTTAATATTATGTGCATCAAGACAAATACCTTAGCTGGCAGCTAAAACTTCATAAAGCAATGAAGCCCTTGAACCAATGTAGCTCAGCAGTTAAAAGATTTTTTTTTTCATTTTGCTGTACATTTTACTAAGGAAAGACATTACAAATAATCAGTTTTAAACAAGAATGTTTCTTTGAACCAACCTTTTTCGTAAGAAGGGATCTTATGAATGGTTTTCTCCATGTTACTTTATTATTTTTGCAAAACACAGTGCCCAGTATCAAAACCATGTAATTAATAAATAGAAGAACAAATATTTCAAACTATCATATTACCTTTAGCAGCTGCTGCACTGGCAGCAACTTTTGTAGTATGAAATTCCCCAGTAGTATAGAGCATGCCTCTTTGTTAACGTGAGTCCATACACATATATAAAACAAGTTACCAAAAGGCAATTGTAAAACAAACAAAAATGATACGTATTTCTGCAAGTAATACTTAAGACAATGTTGAAAGCTTAACCAAAGAAAATTATGAAAATCCGGATGTATCCTGTCTTTCGGTCAGAGGGATGCTGTGATTGAAAGGTAGGAAGTCAGCCGTACAACATTATTTATATCAAACTACTACAAAGGACTAGGGGTGGTGTTCTGCACTCACTTGTGGGACAGCTGGAGGCAAGGCAGTCATCCCTGGTAGAAAAGAATGTATTTTTTCAAAGCTGACCTTTTGCTTAAGAATTGGCCCTCAATTGCTAACAAGAAATTTTGAAAATGGAAGAGGGTGTGATAATGTTCATTGTTATTTTGCCATTAATACCACACATTGGTTTGATGTCTGAAGTCTGTTGGGCTATAATGCAAAGGGGAAGGAAAGAGAATTGATTTCTTTTGTTAATCTTACCAAATTTTGACAAGTTAAAACTTACAGTGATTAAGAACATATACAGGCAATATAACAAAGGCAAAAGCAAAAGGCAATAACAGTTGTTTGTGATAAAATAGCAACATGTTACAACAATGTTGAAAAAAGTGTTATTTACTTTAAGTAGTACAAATTGTATCAAAGGGTGAGTCCAGCTCATTTCACTGATGTGCAGTCTTGTAATAATTAGAACAGTCAAACATTCCAAGAGTCATCAGTAATATTACAATATTTTAATGTATCTGGACATACACAAAGACGCTTTTGCTATAACAAAAATCAAATTGCCTCCGATATAACTAGTTTTCAGACACGCAGCCACTCATTTATTTCTGGCAGGGTCTCAATGGTTATTTTTGCCTGCCGTCACAATGGCCAACTCTTAAGTATGCCAGAAAGGAAAATCTGGTGCTGTAAATTAAATATGACAAATACAATATCCATCTGATAACGCTGCAGCTATTATCAAAGTGCTGAATCTGGTGTAGTTTAAAATAAACAGGATAGTAATTTTACTGGTTCATTATATCTACTTACATTGCTCATTAAGAGGTCAGAGCTTTTAAAGCAGAATGTGCTAGCTAGCATTTGCAAATACAAAACCAGGTTTTCCTACAGCACTTTTCCTAGAGTAAATAAAATTCCTATCTAATTATTTTGTCATTTTTGTCCCTTTTTAACCCTATCAAGATTTAAGTTAATTAAAAAGCACACTGTTGAAGCGTTTACACCAAAAATGTGACCTACCTTTAAACATTTGAACCTAAAGGACCTTGCAGACTATATTCTATAAATATCTATTTAATTTGAAAACTAAAAACATGTTTGATGTAAAACATCTCAACATGATTTTGAGCCCCTTCTAATTGCTCTGTACTAGTTGTAAAATATTATTCCTTGAATAAGGAGAATAATAGATGCTTGGGCACCAAAGTAGTAACAATAGAAAATCAAGTTCAATTAGAAACAGAAGGGAAAGGTTGCCAAAAATGTAAGGAAATTTGGTAGGACAAGAACTGTGTTTTCAAACTTCTCTGGCAGTATTCTAAACAAATTTTGTATTATAAAATAGTCATTTTGATTTAAAATCAAATCTTTTTTTAATAAAACGCATAATATAAAATCAAACCAATTACAGTTTAATAACGGAAGCAGGTTGGGGTTTATCTTTTAAAACTTGGAAGGAAGGAAATCTTAATATTCGTTCACATTTTTAAACCTCTCCCTTCCTCAACCTGATGAGAGTGAGCTAGAGACTATGACTGGGATTGTCAAAGAATATTAATGGTATTTTAGTGCCCAGCTCCCTTGGGCTCATTTGAAAATCCAGCCTAAGGTTGTAATTAAATCTAAATTGTATATACTGAGTCTCGCTTTTCTTCTTCCAGTCTTCATAACTACAAAATTCTCGATTACTACTGGGGACTATATAAATACATAATACTGATATACATGTTAACAATTAGCTGTGCAACCTTTGACTGAATTGCAAGAGTGACTCCAATGTACAATAAACTGCCAGACTCCTTGCTCATTTCTAGTCTAACCTCACACAACACTTTAAAGATGGCATTAAGAATTGGAATTCTATATTTAGTGGATTGTGGTATTGTCCAGGAACCAATGGACGCTTAGCCCTGCACCAGCCTCTGCTGGTCACAAAATGAGAATGATAGCGAAGAGCACACAAGAGTATATTTCTGAGGACTTGTCTTCATTACCACTCAAGTTGATGTAAGTTACACCGATCAGGAGTGTGAAAATGCCACCCACCGGAGCGATGTAAGTTGCAGCAACTTAAGCACTGTCTACACCACATTATATCAGCGGGAGACACACTCCCGCCAACATAGCTTCCATCTCTTGTTGAGGTGGAATAATTACATTGACAGGAGAGCGCTCAACTGTCAACATAGACGCAGCTGTAGCGCGGTAGTGAAGACAAGCCCTAAGGCTTCAAGTTTGTATAGTGATATAAATTCTATTCCTCCGTGTAGTCATTAAATGTTTCCAGTGGATTTACAACAATCTCCATTGAGTTGGGAACATTACTGTGGATGGTTATGGATACAGCAATTTGTTACAGTTCTGAAAGCTAATATCAACTCAAGTAATTGAGCAGAATACTTGTCTGCAAAGTATTAGTCAAAAACAAGATGTAAATGTTCATACTGCTATATTCTGCACAAATGTATTACAATAGAAGAAAACAAATGTCAGTATGTGTCAAACCTTTCATGTTTTTATCTACTTTTCATTCAAATGTGAAATTTTTTCCTCAATGTCAGTGGCCCTTTTCTATGCATTCTTTTGAGTTTCACAAGAACAATGCTGCAGATAGTACTTTTATAGTACATTTCATCCAAGTGTCTAAATGTTCTTTGTACACAATTATGCCTCACCACACAGCTGAGCTTACAAACATTTCAGATGAATAATGAGTTGGTAAATGATTATACATCAATTTTTGTTAACTATTCTTTTTCCTCCTTTAACTATTTCAATTCTAATCAGTATTACCCCCTTGTGATGGATTAGTATAAGTCTGCATGTATCTGTATCAAGCTGCAATCTTCATTCTGTTTTGTGAAGACCACTTTGATTGTAAAACTGTTTTGGCTGTGTAGCCCACATGTTGAGCTAAAACAACACACACACACACACACACACACACAAAAAGAGAAATTCTTGCCCCTGGTAGAGGACTAGCAATGGGAGGGAGTCATTAAACCCTGATGACCTTCCATTTAATTGGAAGCTCCCTTGGACAAAGAGCTGGCTACCACCCAAGGAACCCAGCTCTCCCAAGCAGGCTGACAACCAAGCAATGGATCACCTGATAGGGGTCTGAGGCTGACCAAGGAGCTCACCTGACAGAGAGGAATGCAAGATACAGAAAGAGAAGGTCTGCTCAGAGTAGCTCTCTCACCAACCAGAAAAGGAAGAGAAGACTGTATTGGAAGAACGAAGTTCAGGAGAGGAGAGCTGCAAGTCTGAAAAGACACTGAGTCCCAAAGAACACTCAAGAGTGGTGAGGAAACGGAGGCAGGGAATTGTGTACATGTGGTTTATTTTACATGGATTTGTCTCTTGTGCTATCTAAAGTAATGAGTGATTGGTTTAGAAATCCCTCTGCAAAGTCTCTGTATTTTCTTCAGTTATCACACGTCCCAGAAGGGGTTAACCATAAACCAGAGTGGAGCACTAGAGTAGGTGCCAAAGCTATTGGGGAGTCTTAGGAGGGTTCAGCACTGGCCAAGGGCAGCTACAACACCGGGTCCGACTTCTGAGAACAGATGCCAGACAGCGTTTATGGGCTGGGAAGCAAATCTAGAGGCCAAAGAGAGACTGTGCCATTGAGTCTACCCAGGCCCACAGGAGCTAAAAAGCATTCATATCCAGTGTGTGGATCCAAATAGAGGACTTTAGTGAGTGTCCAGCTGGGGGAGTTTGACCAGGACTGTGACACTCCCAGTCTTCCAAAACAGAGACTTATAAATAAAGGTATAAAATATAACCCTGAACATAATCAATAGCACCATCTGAAACGAGTGCAGTTTTGATAATCAGATTATTACAAGAACCATACAAAAATACCACTGTATCGCAGCTTATTACATACATGGAAATATAAATAAACTATATAGATTTCATGATAAATATGGTGGCTCCATATTTATTTGGGTAGAGCTGAACAGAGGTACAATAGCTATGTTTAGGAAAAAGACTTGGCATTGAGAAACAGTGAGACACAAGGGATGTTTTTCCATTAGAAAAGGAAAATGTGTGTGTATGTTTAAAGACAGCTTTTGGGCTTCAGAGGGTGGCTGAAATACAAGAGATCTTGAGATGTAATCTGCAGCTGTGGAGGTGGAAGATGGCAGAACAATTTCCATATCAGAGACCAAAAAAAGGAGCTGGAAAACGTATTTATTAACACACTTCATTTGGAAATGTACATTCAACCAATGTAGATTTCTGAGAAAGGAGCTGTTCCATTACTGAATATGGGTAGAAGGATGAGTCACTGTATCAAGTACAAATAAACTGAGGTGCCAAAGTAATGCCCTCCTTCACCATCTCCCTATCTCCACCTTCATTATAGTAGTTTAAAAATCGAGAGGGAATAAAATTGGCGAATAATAGTTTAGTTGACCATATAAAGAGTTGTAAATCTTTGATTGTAAACTCGTCAAGGAGGGGACTGTGTCTTCCTTTGTGTTTGGACAGCAGAACAGTTGGAGTTGTTATAATCAGATAATAAATCTGGTATAGGTAAGAGGAAAGATTTGTGAATGAAGTCAAACACCTGAATTCATGACAGACAGGATGAATGTGGGTCAAAATGGGAAATTTTAGTTAAAGGTACTTTTCTTACCAATTACCAGAATAAGAATTTGATACAGTAGAAGACAGAGTGAGGAAATAACCAGAACAAAGAAGAATACATATTTGGGTATCCTCTGCATAGAAATAATAGCCATGAACCAAAATAATAATAATACCTTGAACCAAAAAAGGTAGTGGCCAGAGGAAAGAAGTGTAGGTAGAACATGGCCCCATTATAGACATGGGCAAGTGGAATGGGAAAAAAATATTGGAGAGGTTATTGAAAAAGATTATAGAAACAATCTTTGTTTGCTAAAGAATACAGGGTAAGTCAGAAGGGAAAATTTGCTGGAATTCCACAAGTACATTTTAAACACTTGCAAAAAGTCAGATTTATATTCTGTTTACCTCTAAGATGCTGGACACCTTTTTTTTCCCCCTCTGTGTACCTTACAAGAAAGGTGAATAAAAATATATACCCTGATCTGCTACATTCATGAATATTCCCATTGACTAAAGAGTCTATTTGGCAATGTCTTAAGGATGTCAGTCCTGATAGAGACCGGAAAGCATAAACATCAATTGTTTCCAAAGCCAGATCCAGAGAATGAAATAAAATACTTAAACCCACTGTAATAATGAATAGATACTAGTTTGTTTTGAACATGAGGAAAGGAAAAGGAGATATAATTGTAAAAAGCATTTATCTGCTGTTGCCCATGCTGTTCTTGTTCTGTAACCCAAAAAGATTTCAGATACGAGTACTGTCAATCTGACACCTTCCAATATTACGAAATTAAAAAAATTAAATGCTCTGCATTCTGAAATACTCTATGAAGCAAAATGGTCAAAGGTGTCCCTTAGAGAAGAAAACTCCAACTTCTATCTTAGGTACATTATCCACATAGGATGGGATTTTTCAAGAGCATCTAAAGGAGCCAGGCACCCAAATCTTACTGACTTTTAATGGGAGTTGGTTGCTTAACCCTTAGATGCTCTTGAAAAATCCCACCCATTTTCTACATTAAGGGACAAAGGATAAGATAAGATTATTTTTTCCTATAGCTATTTTTACATCTTCCTCCTTTTCCCCTGGATTTGGAAAGGAAAAATATTAAAGTTGTGCATGCTAGTGGTACCATAATGATGTTTGTTGTAACATTTTCACACCTTTCAGTTTTTCCATAACATTATAGTTCAGTGTTTTAAAGTATCACAGCTGATAAGCCTAGTATCCTTGGTCTCTGCTCAGTAATATTTCTAAAATTGTTTTTAATGTTTTTAGCGAATATTATGCTTATGAATAAAGGTTAACATATACCAGATACTTTGTCTGCCCTATAATTAAAAGCGTCTCTAAGTCCCTAATGTGTATTTAGCCATTTTTATTTTTAAAGAAAATGAATATGCTAAAGTTACTCATATCTGAAAAGTGGCCAGTGTAGAATAAAACTAGGTTATATGCACAGATCCGCACTCCTGGACCACTCAAGGAAGTTTAGAGGCAACTGTTGAAAGAAAAAGTTACATTAACTCATGACCAGCTACACACTTAGTCTAATTGGATACAAATTAGAACTCGGTTTCAATATCTCCTATAGCAGAGTTCTCAGAAAGCACAAAGAGCTCAATGATTGAGGCACAGCGTTGGGATTCATATTTACTGAAATAAAAGAAAACTTATAGCTGTAATTCACAATTTTCAGTCACTTTTAGATACTGTCCAGCATTTCTTTTATTGACAGTTCCAGCCATGCCCTTGCTATATCAAGATAGAAGACTTGAACAGAAACATTTAATACTAATCAGTTCTTTCACACACAAAAAATCTTTGAAAGGTAGTCACTTTAAAAAAAATATAAAAAAGCAAAACTAAAACTGTGTGCTGAGCACATTTGAAAATCTCATCCCAATGTCCTAACTCTGTGAAGTCAATTAGAGTTTTATCACGGGCTTCAATTGGAACGGTTAGGCCAATACAATTTTGAAAATCCCACTGTTGGATTTTATGCTAAAAGAAATCTGTTTGAAACAACCACAAGATTACTTCATACAATTTAACAAATTCTCTACAGTACCACAGCAGGATGGTTAAGTCTCCCATAGTTATGAATTTTATGATATCTGTGCTTAATCAGGCTGGAATCTAGAATTGTCAAAGTTGTAACTGAGCCTAAAATTCAGTTATGTCACTATTAGGGAAATGATAAAAGATACAGGCCCATGAAAGATCTAATTTAAAAGAAAAAAAATGTAGCAAGTTTTACCAGCTTGGAGACTTTTTTCTTGCTACTACAAAGACTTAAGCATAGCATTTGGGGTGGAGAAACCGTTAGTTAATCAAGCAGATTTTACATATTTCACTTTCTTTTGGCCCAGTGAAAGACATTAGCCAGGACTATAGTGCAACACTGTTTCCTATACAGATGTAGCAACCATGGAATTGGGCAAAATTCTGATAATGGTTACTCACTCCATTTAGGAAGATGTGAACTACATCAACAAAAATTTTCGGATGAAAATAAGGGCATAAAATCAATCCATACAGCAAAAAGTCACCAGAAAGTATTTTGTAAGCTGCCAATTTAAAAACATATGAGGGTCCTATTTAGAGTTTCGAAAATGCTGCTAGAATGTTCCCCATGGGATACCAGGCCGGACATCTGACACTTCCCACAAAACAACTCTTTCGTATGCCCTCAAAATATTGCTTCTTGTACAAATCAGTATAGGGCCTCTGACACTTCAAATGACAACCATTCAGTTATAGTTCTCAGTTAGAAATACACAGGCATCCAAGACAGATTAATTCTAAAATATGAAGACTTTCCTATTTTGTAGGCTTACTTGTGCATATGGAAAGTGATAGCTGCAAAACAGCAATGAACTTCCAAACTGCAGCAAGCTCTGCAGAGGCAATTTTTCAGATAAAGACAGAGCTAAAGTTCATAAGTTTAATCAATCATTGAGATTTCAATGGAGCTGCTGAGAGGCCCTACAGAATGGGCCCCATTCTTGACCCAGGTGCACTACAAGAGGGGAAGAGGGGACAAAAGGTGCCCTAAATGAGACAGCTGGTGTAATGCCAATAATCAGTTCCCTTCCTGCAAGTGGGCATGTCAGGCATTGCTTGGGGGAGGAGAGGACCTGGCCAGCTCACACTGTGCTCCAGATATCTGAGAGAGAGAATTGTTCCTGGGGAACATTCCAGCTGCATAAGTAAGAAAAGCCTTCTAGACAGGGGCCTGAACAACCAACCAGGAACCGCACATACCATCGCCCCCCAAGATCATGAGCTTGAAACAGCTGACAATTGACCCTAAGGAGTCTGTATGTCTCCTGGCCAGCTATGCAACAAGAAGTGCTTATGACACTGCAGAAAGTGGCAGGTAGACTACTACACAGCCAGATTTAGGATAAATGGAGAAGGAGGTCATTCAATGTGACAAAGCTCTCTTAAAAGGTGGACTTCCAAAAAAGAGGAAGAATTACTATATTGTTGTATGTTCCAAATACACAGAAGGAAGGAAGGAAATTCTGCAAATTTCTACTTTAAAACATACCTATTTTCTCTTACTGGTGGTTTGAGTCTATCAAGATTCTTATATTAGTGCCTATCACCATTGAGCACCTTGTACCATAAATCATAACTGGCTATGTAGTCTAGACTGATGCTACAAGCCTTTCTTGGTGCAAACAACTTATTCTCATAGCTGGCCTGGAGTAATACACTATCTCAGGACAATCAAACTAAATGCTTGATTTGATGCTTTTACCCCAATATACAATCTGTGGAAGATCTCACACTGCTCAGATCACCAAGGAACATGCAGGCTGCCTGCTGTTTAAGGTTTCACTTTCTCAAGTTTTTAAAAGTAGAATGCTCTAAAACAAATAAAACCATTAGAAAACTACATAAAATTGGCTACATCATAGACCATATCTTTTACAAACTCCAGTGATTGGTTTGACATCACCAGCAGAAAACTGAACTGAGCAAATGGCTGCCTGCACTTTTCATATACGCAGCAACAGAAGAAAAAAGGTAGGGTTTAAATTAGAGGAGTATTGAGTACACTTTTTACTTTTGTGTTTATGCTGAATAACATCAAATGATTTTGAATTGCCTTGTATTAAGTAAGGGAGTCATTTTTCCAATAACTTTGTATTTACAAATCTGAATACCCAAAAGCAATCCCATACAAATGTTGCAACCATCACGGTACAAGATTAAGAAGCCAAAATAGTTTGACAAATATCAAACAAGTTGTGGAAGTGTGGGTTGCTGATCCCAGGGCATGTCTATACTAGAAAGGTAAGTAGGCCTATATTAGGATTAATGAGGATTATATTTAGCAGTGAAATGGGTTCCATATAACTCCCAATATACTTTCCCTTGACAGCTCTCTATCCATCTTTGTGTATGAGGAGGAGATGGCTAGAGAGTACATCTTGGTACCAAAAACCCCCACACAAGTATTTTAACAGATAGAATAGAGTAAAAATACCCAAACATTCAAAGCATTTAAAAAATAAGCCTAGTTCTGTAGAAAGTTGCAAGAGTAATAGCACTGGAGAACAGAACACAGTACTGGAGTTAGGGGTATAAATCTTCCTATTGTGCCCCACAAATATTCCCCAATATTGATTTAAAGGGATCACCATTACAGGTGAGTACTTCAGTCTCAATGACCATTCAATCTCTGGATTCTTTAGATGCTCAACAGATGCCAACTGTTATGGGAGTTTTGCTGATGTAGACATCAATCCCGTAGGAAATTAATTAAGACCACCACACTCATTTCATATTGGGTACCAGCTTATATAGTTATGATTTCGGTCACTACCAAGTTGGGCTAGATGCACACTAATGTCCTACAAGTAAAAGAGTAAAACCTCAATATTACTAAAACCTTTAACCATCCAGACCCTTAAAGAAAGAGCAAATTGACAAGAATCATTGTGTGAATAATATGAATATCAAGCCACAATATTTCTGAAATTGATAACTCCTTTATTGAAGGAGAAACTGAATTCTCTGGAAAGTCTGAGATTTTTACAACAAACATTGACAATTTGTTTTCTTCCACTGTAATTGAATATACCAATATTACCATAAGTATATCAAATTATGTTTCAGGGGTGTCAGTAAGACATGAAGTAGGAATATTATACAGACTTTTCTGATACTAGCAAGTACATTGAATTATTTTTAGTGATTTACTTTATTTTACGAAAAGATGTACTTGATAGTAGCAACAACAATCTAAGTTAATTTGTTTTAAAAGTGAATGTAAATGGCAGTATTATCATTGGAAACAATACGGTAACAAAAGTTTAACTTGACATTTATTTTTAAAAAGTATTAAATGTAAATATGAGTTTGGAAATATTTCATCAGTAACAGACAGCTTTTAAAAAAAATATGGTTCAAAGTTTTTGTACCTCCAATACAATACGTCAATATTTTCTGTTCTGCGTAAAGCAAACCATCACATTTGTGTTCCTCGTTTATATTCGTATAAATTTATCTGAAGAAATTGATTGCTCCAGTGAAAGGAATAAGGTAAATAGTTTGATTTGACATAGAATAACGTTATTTTAACTGGCATACATTTGAATAAGTATTAATGACCTTTCTATATAATTATCAAGAAATAAAAAAAAATTAGTATCTAAAATTTGTGTCTGAAAGAGAGATCCCCTTCAATCATCCATCTCTTCAGTATTATATAAAGGAAGTTGTAACAAAATGGATAGAAGGAAAAAAGCTGAGGAAGAAACAAATAGCGTGATCTGAACTGGCTCTTTAGTTATTACCAAAACTATGCCTACTTTATCAGTCTAATTGTTTATTTAAATATGTAACAGATTTGTGCAATGACTGGTTCCAACTATGGAGGCAATTCCATTTGAAACAATTTTATAGCATTTCTTTAACTCTGGACTCATTCAAAAAATCAAGAGGGTTTTTTAAATTTTGAGTTCCATGGACATTCCCCCAACCCACACTTCAAAAATATATGAATGTCATACTCCAGTTGGCTGCTTTAAACTGTTCTATACTCACGTATATTAATGCACTTAGCAAGCCTTAGAATGTGAATCAGAACTATTTTTTTCCAGCAGAAGCAGCTTTTTTCAAAAAAGTCTACAAATTGCTAAATAAAAACTTTATCAAAAGGATCAGCAACAAGGTAGTTGTTATTGGCTTTCCCTGTTGAAATGAAAGAGGATTTGTAGTATCCTCATAATAAAATTCAACAAGTATTTTGTTCCTGTAACCTATAAATACTACAAGATGGAACATGTTTATTTGGTTCCCATAAATTAGAAAATAGAAGTTTCCCATAACTCTAAACTAATGATTTAAAAAACAAAGTGATACTACATCTGAGTGCCTTTCCAAACAATTTGAGAGACTAGCTTAACCTTTCTCTCACCCTGCAAAAGTGTGCTTTTTACAGATACATGATTTTTAAAAGTATTTGTACACAGTACACTAGCTTAAATATACAAGTGGACATGTTAAAGTCATGTTACGGTTCAAGGTACTTCTGGACGAAGGCAGATATTAAGTTAGTTATTTTAATTCTGCATTCCTATGCAGGACAAGCATTATTAGAGACTTCAGTTTCCTACCACCATTCACGTGTTGCATGGAGAGATCAATAAATAACTTCTGTGGTCCAGTTTACCTATAACGGAAGATACTAAACAAAGAAAAAAAAACTATTAAATTATTTGTGTCTGACCCTGATAAGATCTGAGTTGTGATACCCAGTTTTTAACTGCAAGAAAAGCAATAATAAATCTTTATCTTGCTTATCAATAGACACCCCATTTTTCCATGACACCCAATTTTCAATATAATGGTTAACAAATAATTTATGCATGGGACAAAGGTCATGGTGGTAGAACTAACCCAGCACAAATATGGGTTAAAGAATGGGCTACCAGCTCTTGAACAAAAGGAATCTGGGTGAGTTATGGAGGCAGTGTGCCCAGACACTCATTGGGCTCTAAAGCCATGAATACCCAATCTAAGTTATATTGTCAGACCATGAAAAGTAATACAGGATTCTGTTGTGCTGATGTAAAGAAATCTGACAAAACCAATTACCTCCTTTCTTTGTTTAGAGCAGAAGATGAACTAGCTTACTAACTGATATTTTAAGTAACGCATGTCACTATGACAAAACTTGCCGTGATTTGTGTGTTTAGCTACAAGGTGCAGTATTTCTCATGACTGACTCAAAGCACAGCCGCATCCAATTGTAATGGAATTCCATCTCACACAGAGCGCACTGTATGACTTTGAAGAAAGTCTGTATGATTGTAACAAAGTAGTCACCCATCCTCTCCTTAAACGTGAATAAATCCATGGGGTAATCAGGCACAGGCGGCATGTAACGGGTTTGTCTTCATTTTATTCCTTGTTTTTGTTTGAGGACATGCACTTGACTCCAGGCAAAATCCATCCCCGGTTACAAAATAACACAACTATTCTTTTCTTTCTCTTTCTCCCTCTCTTTCTCTCGAGGTTCTTTTCGTTTGCGTTCACTACTTCCAGATTGTCTTCCACTTGCTGGAGAAGCAGCTCCTTGCACCTGCTGGAAGAAAGACTTTAAAAATCAAAAACAGCAAAGAGAAATATTATTCTAAATGCTACAGGTAGTTCCTGAATCAACATTGTGGTCTAAAATTCATATGGCTTGGAGCAGTAACTAACGGAAACTGAAACTTGCTCACTAGCTTTAATAATCATTAATTATGCAAACCACAACCATCAGGCACAGAGTGTTTCAGTTTGAGGTTGGTTAAAACTAACATGCAAAATTAATTATTTTTGGCAAGAAAGACTGATTGTATTTTAGTTGGGTGGTGGGAATCTAAGTCCCCTGCATCTTATACAGCAGAACAGATCTAAATAAGGTGCAGTACTGAGCCCCAAGCACTCTCCATATCACTTGTATCATTTATTTTGATATTAAATTTAACTTAGTTTATAATACCCCCCATTTTCACTGTGCTGTAGATTTTTCAGTTTTCTTTTTTAAAAATCAAAGACAAACTACATTTTCGAAGTTGCAGAGGGAAAATGCTGGGTTTTGACTACTAATTATGGAAAAGTTGGGACTTTTGGCAACAAGGAAGCCATAGGAATTAGTTTTAGTTTTTGATAATCAAGAGGCAGTGAATGCTTTTGGTACTTTAAGCCCTATGGGGCCAACTATGGGAAGGGGCAGAGGTGATTTTACATTTGGGAGAGCAGGCACATGAATTTCTTCTTCCCCATCCCAGCAATTATATTGAAGCTGGCTAATCCCTTTATGTCTTGACCAACTAACTGCAGCTGCATCCAGTAGTGATGGATAAACACAGTAGTTTGATATTTCTGCTAAAACAATGAGCAGCATAACCATGTTATTTATATTGTCATAATTGTGCTTCTCTGTTAACATCCTGTTTAGATTAATGGGTGCACTTCACACTTCTGAGTTATTGTTCCTGTCTGTCTGCAGGCTCAGTCAGACATCACAGATAGTTTACTTTCAATTTTGAATATTTTTCGCAACTAAAAATGTGTTTTTTTTATTATCTTAGAATCAGGAAGGGCAATTTTAAAAATCCAGTTAGGTGACAATTTACATAGATGAATATAAATCACATTAAACAAGGTGCCTTGAACATCATTATTTACCTTGACAAAACAACCTCAGAGGACCTGGACTGAAAATTCTACTGTCATCTACTGCTAATTTGATATTTTGACATAAAATCAAAAGGACAGAATAAAAGCAATTACCAAATCTAGTACAAACTAAAGTATTACATAATATAATGCAAGAGCACGAAGTCCTATAATGTGGTTTGTGGGAAAGTAGCGTAGTTGGATATTATTTAACAGATAACTCCTCTGATAATTCAGTAATTACAGTGGACTAAATCAGTGGTTTTCAAACTTTTTTTCTGGCAACCTAGTTGAAGAAAATTGTTGATGCCCATGACCCAACAGAGCTGGGGATGAAGGGTTTGGTGTGTGGGAGGAGCTCAGGGCTGGGGCAGAGGGTTAGGGTGTGTGGGTGAGGGCTGCAGGGTGGGTCTGGAAATGAGGGGTTCAGGGTGTGGTAGGGGATCAGGGCTCTGTGATGGGGTGCAGTCTCCGGGGTGGGGCCAAGGATGAGGAATTTGGTGTGCAGGAAGGGGCTCCAGTTTGGGGGGGAGGGGCGCTCAGGGCTGGGGCAGGGGATTGGGGTGCACGCTTACCTCAGGTGGCTCCCTGTCAGCAGCACAGCGGGGGTGCTAAGGAAGGCTTCCTGCATGTCCTGGCACCACGGACCGCGCTGAGCCCTGGAAGCAGCGAGCAGCAGGTCCGGCTCCTAAGCATAGGCATGCAAGCGGCTCTGCGCAACTCTCGCCCGCAGGCACTGCCACCCCCCAGCTCCCATTGGCTGGGAACTGGCCAATGGGAGTGCGGAGCCGGTGCTCGGGGTGGGGGCGATGCGTGGAGCCTCTTGGCCTCCCCGCCTAGGAGCTGGACCTGCTGCTGGCCACTTCTGGGGTGCAGTGCGGTGTCAGAACAGGTAAGGACGAGCCTGCCTTAGCCGGGCAGCACCACCGATGGGACTTTTAACGGCCCAGTCAACGGTGCTGATCAGAGCCACTGGGAACCAGTGCCTTACATTCCACGGCCCAAAACTGGGTCATGACCCACAGTTTGAAAACCACTGGACTAAATAAACAGGATAAAGGCAGTTAGGGTTTTTTTTTTTTTTTTTTTTTTAAACACCAAATGCCGAGACATCTATTGCACAGGCTATGATCACTGTGTAAACAAGCAGCACCCTCAAAATGTTGGAAGATGCTCTCCCTCTGCATGTGCTACCCTTTTTTCCCCCCGCCCCCATCTCCTTTCTCTGAATGAGAGGGCTTCAGTCAATTTTGAGTTTTCTGTCCTCTGTCAGTTCTGCAGTCTAATAAATAAATTTGAGACAGACATTTTTCACCTTTTATGATTCACTCATACACAGGAATAAGTTTTGCATTTGCTGCCTCACATTTGGATGACTGGGAAGGTAACAAGGAAAATGTCTCAATGAGGAATAAACAGATATGAATAAGAACTTACTGATTAACTGCAAGTTGGATAAATGGGGTTTTATGCAGCTTTTTAGTTGGTTTAGTTTCAGAAGTCAGATACAATTAGGTGTGTAAAAATAGTTATGCAAAACTGAAAATGGGATTACTTAGGGACAGTGAGACAAGCAGCATTCAGTGAAATTTCTAGTCATGATGTAGGAGAGGAATAAGATGTTAAAAACTGGTTTTGCTGTAGCTACTAATAGCTGAATAATGAAAACCCAACTCTGCATGCTAATTAGTATAAAACAATTAAAAATCCAAGAGATACACGTTTCAGTTTTTCATAGGATTGTCTTATTAAAAAAATGCTCTCTCCTCTTCATCCAAAGATGGCTGAAATACTGCATGGCACTACTTCTGTTTCAATGCAATTTCTGTAACAACAATTATAACTCTTATCAGGATCCCTATTTAACAGTCTTAGCAAAATGTTGATGTAGGAGCCTAGGCCATTAGCAATGTGGTTTAATTTACCGTGACATTGACTGAAATTGATATGGAAGTAGCATGCATACTCTAGCAGTAATAAGATTTTTCCTAAAGTTTGTTGTGCCATCATCATAATTCACTCATTGTACAGAGTGTTAGTGGTATTAGTGTTACACATCTAGAATAAGTTCTATGAACATTGTTATGGTAATTCTGCCTATGTAATTGTTATTGAAGCAAAAAGATTAAATAAAATCTGAGAAAGTAAGATGCTATGGAAGAAAATCAAATAGACAGTACCCTTTTCATACTGAATGAAACTTATCATTGATGTAAAACACTCACAGTAGTTAAAATTTTTGTTTTAATGAAGTTACCACAAAACTAAATAAAGTCAGTAACTGTACTCTAACCATGGAATATGCTCTTACCTGGACCTGAGCAGCAGCTGCAACTGCTTGTTCTTGTTCCTGATAGTACTGAGAAGCCCGCCTATCCTCCTCTTCCTGCAGCTTCTTTGCCAGCTCTAGATCACTGATTCCTTCTGGGATCTGCTCCCAGTCGATATCTTGGCTCTGCTGCTCTTGTTGTAAAGACAATGCCATCAGATAGTCCTAAGAAGTAAACTCGTTATTAGTAAACACTCTTCTGCTTCCCTAACGATGAGCCAAAGTTGTAATGGGAATTCTATGAATCTCTAAAAATGAGAGCTCAATATTTATGCTTCCTGGATGGTTTATTATGTTGAACGGCCACTTAAAATTGCTGGCTAAAGCTTTCATAAGAAGTCAGATCAAGGAAGGAATTGTGATAGGAGCACCTGTATACCTCCTCTGTCATTGTTGCCTGCCGTACATCTACAGTCTACTTTTTTTTTTTAAATATTTATCCATATGTAAACAAACATATATAAAAACTGTGTTTACATACAGGCTTACTTTTTAAATTCCTTATATTATCACCTCTCTTTTTCATAAGTGTTCCATTAAACCACTATGAGCAAGCTATTCTCTACCAAAAATCTTCATCCTGTCTTTGGGGGGAGGGGATTGCTCTGAAAATCTAGCTGAGGGATTATGATTTATAGACCATCAATACTCAGTGATATTAATACTCACTTAAATTTTGACAGCACGTAAGAGAATGAAGTTCCACACTGACAAAGTGCTAAAGTTATGTGAACTAGTGTTTTTACCCTTTCAGAAATATTAGCATTGCAATATATTATCATTCAAGAAGAGTACTTTGATTAGCACATTGCTTTATAAAAATCACTTTAGACCAAGAGCAGAAGAGAGCAAAACTGCAGAAATCCCTCAGAAAATCTGTGTGTGAGGGCATGAAGGACAAGTGCAGTAACATCTCTTTTCCCTAACCCAACTACCATATACTTACATCTTTCTCCTCAGAGAACCACATGGAAATTCAGTTTAATGTGAAGTTAGAGAGGTGCAGAAGCAGGAATCAGCTGCTTTATACGGCACATTTCCCCTTCTGCTGCACACAGTAACATTAGTAAATGTTGCTTCAAGGAGCATTAGCTTACACTATGGGATTGGTGACATAAGAAAAACAGAACCCAGGCACTACCAGTACTTGGGGAGAGGATGTTAGGCCTCGGGGACTGCAGAGGGACAGTTTATCTCCAGTGCAAAATCTGTGCTTTGACTCAGGGTTACTACTGGATGTACAGACCATCTGTCTATTGTGAATACTGCTTCCCCACTCCTTCCACACCTCCACAAACTCCTGAAGGAAGAAAAGGTTATGACCTTCCCAAAAAGTACACACATTTTTGAACAAGTGTCCCTCTGTCACTTAATTTTATATCAGAGGAGATCAAAGATTTTGAATTTAAGTAAGAGAAAGTTTTTTCACTATTTAAATTAGCTACTTCTGATTGTAGGGCTAGTGTACAATACTGTAACTTTTGCAAGGAATTCTTAAAAAGCTGCACTTTAATAGTTATACTGGATCAAACAAAAATATTCCATTAGAAGATATGTCATCCAGAATTGTACTGTATTGCACCACCTAAGAATAACAAAATGTTTTGTAGCTGTCAGTTATTTCGGATATTATTGGTATTGAATTTAGTTTTCATTTTATCTGCCATGAGGGAGCTGTCATGGGAAAACACCTTTCAGCCAAATAAAATAGTAGTAGTAACAGCAAAATAAAATGGAAATTCTTCTTGATCAATAGAAGAAAGAGACATTACAGTCTTCCAGTTCAGAGCTTTAAAACAGGAGTACATTAAGCACACCAGGGAACTTTTAGTTTGCGGAAGCAGGTTCCACACAAATAGTGCACAGCAGGACTGTGAGAGTTAGACTTTCACCCTAGTTTGTCAAGAACTTATTGTACATATAGATATATAGCTAAATTTTGTACAGCTGTCCACAGCTTCAAGGGGCCATGGCAGCCACGGCTTTCCAGCAAGTGAAGATGCCCCAGCCATCTCTCTTTCACTCAGAATTAGGGCTTTGGAGCGGTGCTCCAGCTCCAGGAAAAAACCTGCAGCTCCACTGCTCCGGAGCTGCTCCGCGCTCCAGCTCCGCTCCAAAGCCCTGCTCAGAAATGCCCCTTGTACTGGGAACTAGCCATAAAAGGCTGCTATACAATGTCTACGCTACTTGGGGATTCCCCTTACTCCAGGAGAATCCTGAAGTGCCCAGCAGTGCTGGCTTTATGGCTGCTTTGAGCCATAAAATCACAGTGGAGAATCCAACCCATTGAGTTTTTGGGGTTGCACTGAAGTGTTCAATTCCAACAAATGCCAGTACAGAATCGTCATTCCAAATTTGTTCTCAAGCTTCTTTTCCCCACAATGTAGCACTTCACCCCAGCAAAAAAATGGATGTGCCAGCTTTTTAACATTTAATTTTGATATACCAGGGGTTTTGGGTTTTTTTGCATTACTTCAACAGCTCCAAACAAATTAAATCTGATAACATTAATTTCAGATAATCAACTCTACAGACATCTGTTTGGGCTAGTCTCTGCTCATACCTGACTGCGCAGTGCCACAGGTGGCCCCTAAATTTTTCTCATGTTTCTAAATTTTTTAAATTTCACTCATATATTTGCAGGGAATAAGATTAAGTCTTGATTTATATTATCAGAAACGGTTATCAAAACCTACACATGTACATTGGAACATGTTAATATGGGGGAGATAAAACATCTTAAATCTCAGATTTTAACTGAAGTGCTTACATTTATTAAAAGCATCTGCCTACACATATTTTAAGCTTTTTAAAAATATGTAAAAATGCTTCTCAAATACACTTTAAGAACTCATTAATTGGTTTTGTCTATGCAGAATGTAAGGTCTTTGAGGCAAAAATGGTCTCCTGCTGTATGTTTCTACCCTGCCTATCACAATGGGTCCTCTTAGATGAGACCTCTAGAAGCTAATATGAAAAAAACAAACTAGAATCGATGAACACTACTGTTTTTGTATTCCATTCTGCAGAATTGATATCAAAAGGCAAAGTTCAGTGATGACAGTGAGATCTGAAATAATGTATATCAAAACACAATTATGTACTGTACTACTCTTCTCAAATTTAGCACCCCTTACAGACAGGCTAACCCATGCTTTTAAGGTAAATTACCAACAGCATGCAGAATTTAAGTCCTTACAGAACAAATCTGAAGTTGGCTAGATATTGTAGCTTTCATAAACTAGCATACGCTACTAAGTTTTTACTAATAGGATGACAGTAATTTATTAGTCATAGTAAGTTACTATGTATAGTAACTGGGGTTCTTCAGATGTGCTGACATTCTATTCGTAGAGTGCATGCACCTAGAGAGTTTGAGATTGGAGACTTTTTGACTCACACTATCCATATGGCATTCATGCACCCGCCCAGTCCTTGTGCTCTGCAGTAAGGGCATTTAAGGGCAATGTGTGTCAGCACTTCTCACTGCAGAATCCCCAACAACTAGTCCAAGGCAGACAGAATGGAAGAATGGGATGTGGAATGTGCATATGGTCAACACATCTCAAAGAACTCCATTTACAGTACATGGTAAGTAACTTGCCATTCTCCTTCGAGTGTTTGCCCATATACACTTTCCACTGATGTTGACTCCCAAGCAGCAATGGAAGCTTAGAATGGTTAGTTAAACAATGAGTGAAGAACTGCTTTACCAAATAAAGCATCAGATCTAGAAGACTTAGTGATGGTGTAGTGCTTTATGATGATGTGTATTGATGCCCAAATAGATGCTTTACAGATGACTGATAGGGGAAAATTTTCACAGTGATGCCACAGATGTTGCATAACCACCATCATCACCATGAATCTGGCAGCTGTTTCCACCATATACAGTGAACCTCGCCGATCTGTACTGGCCATTTGCTGGCCTTTGTTGACTAATGACAAATTCTTTGCAAGTCTCATTTGGCAATTTATCTGCAAAGGTATGCAGTCTCTCGTGTACCAAAACTCATAATTGGCTAATATGGCCTAGTAATTGGCCACATAGAATTGTAGGCTTGCTAAAGAGTAGGCTTTCTGGGCAAATTTACCTAATCTCTTTGGTTAGTCCTCCTTTTGGTGTGGACTTGAGTTGTTTTGCTCTTTCCTTCATTACTGTGACTACAGAGGAAGATGTCTGTAAAAGAATTCTGCACTCTTGGGAGGCACTTGATATTTGGCTGTGTCCATGATAGCTTTGTTGACAGGGAGGGCTATTTTTCCTGCCAAAGAAGCATGGGGAATGTCCACTGACTTATGAGTCTGCTTCTGAACCTCCTCAATAGGGATTTGAAGGGCCTCAGATATCCTTTTTAATAAATATTGGAAGTCCTTGAAATTGTCCAATTATGAGGCCATTGGTAGCACAACAACCTCATCAGGGGACAAAGAACAGGGCCACCAGAGCTGGCAGGCTGCCCTCTTGTTCCTGTTCTTCTATAACTTCCTGTTCTACCTGCGGTTGAAGCAGAACCAGGAAATGTCAATGGGTAGCCTGTGGGACTGATATTGTGGGTGAAACAATCTCCTAGCAGCGGTGTTGGACCGTCGGGTTAAAATTGGACTGAGCAGACCAGGGTCACCAACAGGGCCACAAGGGAATTGGTTGGTATGAGCCTGATGGCCAGGAGATAGGGAACCAGGGGTCAGGATTTTGAAGGTCCCAGTATTTTTCCTGTGAAAAGTGTTTGGACTATCAAATATCGAGGGTTGAGGCAAGTAAAGATGCTACTGGTATGTATCTTCCTAACCCTTTGACTCTGAAGAGAACAAGAAGAATGGATAGCGCTGATTAATGGGGGAGGAGGGTGTTGTAGAGGGTGGTGCTGTGGCTCCCAGTGCATTAGGAACTGATGGTGCCAGACCAGTTAGTATAGAATCATAGAATATTAGGGTTAGGCTGGTGTTAGGTGCTGTAGGCAGGTTTTCCTCTTAGACAAAGCCTTGGTAGGTGTTCCGCCTCTCGGACTCCTGGAGCCTTGTGGGCTGTCTGAGGAGGAGGACAGCCCTCATGACCTGGGGGTTGGGCAGTCATTGGACTCTCGCAGGCTGTACTTTGGGGCTCTGAAGTCATGAGGAAGACCTGTAAACCAGCCTCCCTGTCTTCCCTGGCCTTAAAACTAAAAGACTTACAAATTGCCCATTTGCTGGGAATGTATGATTCTTTCAGACAATCAAAGCACTTCTGAATGTCAGTCTGAGACTGTGATAATTCCCTCACAAGGGGCAGCGTTTCAATTCAAGAGAACCAGATGATGTCATGCTGTTGGTGATTAATTCCTAAAGAACTAACAATAGATACAGACAACCAGGTAACTATATCTATTAATGGACTAAGGTATGACTGTATAAACTTTGAAATCAGAGCTAGAACTATACTAGTAAAGAACAGCTAGCAGTCTCTCAGACAATCAGGGCTCCATTTCTAAGCTGAAAGGATATGAGAAGAACTGAGTGGCGGCTGATTAGCTTGTCCCTTAGATGCCCTCACGGCAGAGCATGAGGATTGGCAGGGTGCACGTGCACATATGGATACTACTGGCCAAAAAGTCTCCAATCTTGAGCTCTTGAGGCATATGCACACCATGAGTGGAATGTGCATATGGACAAGCACCCGAAGAAGCGAAAATTCCACAGTATTTGTTTTATGTTTTTAATAATGTATATTAATTCCTTAACATGTCAAATCTGACTTCCGGTACCTTAACAGAACATGCTAAGAAATACCCATGTGAAGAGGTAACACTAGAATCTTTGGAAAACGGGTTCACTTTTCCCAGAGAGCAATTTTCAAAAACAATCTGTCATCCTTACTCTGATCCCACTGAAGTCAGTGGCAGAACTTCTCTTGATTTCAATGGGACCACTTTGGAAAATCCCACCCTACAAAAGCTGGAGAAATGCAATAGATTTACCTGATCGATTTGATCCTGCTGCCCTCTATATACAGTTTCTGGGTCTGATGGAGGCCGAAGGTGGAATTCAGAGTCACAGAAATTTCCATCACCATCTACATTATGTAAACTTTCCCAGACAACTTTCTCTTCTGTAAGAAAACCCTGATCTGTCACCAGTAGATAAAGCTGACCCTAAATGGAAGGATAATAAGGATAGAATCTATAAAAGAAATAAAAGTAGATCTTTACAGTCTGAAACATTTACTTATTATTCCTGCTAACTGAACCTCCATGATTCGGTAAACCGAACAAGGATAATTTAGATTTATGCCCATGTTTCAGATTTAAAACTATTTGTATACTTCTGTTATCTGTACAGAATATTGAGATTTATATTAGTGCCCATTGCCAAGGCACATTGGCAACTTACAGCAATACAAAGAATCCATCACAGGAGAATAAAATCCCTGCATATTAACTAAAGTTCCCATTCTCTATTACAATAAGCATAAAACATGGTCTTATAGTACTGTGCTCCAACACCAACTTGGGGTCTCAAACTACTTGATGGAACAGGTTCCAGAGGTGTGGGCCCTTAGCTGAGAATACCTGGCTACCGGCAATGTAAGTCCCAGGACAGCAAAAAACGAAAAAAAACAACAACAACAAAAACCAACAGATTTTAACTCCCATGGCAGGACTTGGAGACAAGAGAGGATCTTCAAATAAGTGGTCTCGGACCATTATTACATTTATAGATGCTAATGCTTTAAACTGCACCCAAAAGCGAACAGATGGCCAATGCAGGTCATAGAGCACTATTTTTTTTTTAAATGCGCGCTCTCCAACTCAAGGGGAGCTGCTAACTTCAGCAGTAGCTGACGCTTTCAAATCCTCTTTAGTGGTGCCCCAAGTAGAGCTTACTGCAGCTTTCTAGCCTTCACGTTATAAAGCCATGGCTCACTATGACACTATCCACATCAGATTATATATTATTTCTATTATGGCAGTGTTAGAGACCCCACCAAAATCACAGTCAGTGTGCTAAGAGCTGTACAAATGCATAGGAAGAGACAATCCCTGCCCTAATAAGTTTACAGCCTAACCAGACTAAACTATGGGATGCAAGTAATATGCCCATTCCACACAGAGAATTTAAGCACAGAGCGATTAACTGACTTCCCCAAGTCATAAAGGAAGACTGTCACAGATCCTGGAATCGAACCCAGACGTCCTGAATTCCAATCATGTACCTTAATTTTACAATCATCCTCTCTCTCTCTCTCTCTCTCTCCCTCCCTCAAAGAACAGTTTCAGCCAACAAGCCAACAAATATACCATAGCTGTCAGCTGAGAATTCAGGGCCAGCAATAGATTCAATATGGCCTGAGATTGCAAAATGTGCATTTGCAAAGGCCAGATAAAAGATACAGTGCTTCCCTTATCTATCATATCGGCTTAATCTTACACAGCCAGTTTGATCGCATCTAGTCTGCACTTTTGTTAGAAATTGACACTTAGTAGCTGAAAAAGAGCTGAGCAGCAGCATGAAGTAAAAATAGGGTTGCATAGTGGGAAATTGATGACAGCATAGAGAAATTTACAACTATAAACTATTAACCAGCTCTTAGACACCTCCAATAATTACATTTAAACAGAAAAAAAGTTTTATTTATCCATTGTTACGATTAACCAAAACACTTCTCATTAATCTTTTTCTTGGTAACTGATCTAATTAAGCAGAAGTAACACCACACATGGTTCTCCCACTCTCAGCATAAATACATGACTGAATGTTAGGGACCAGATTTCATAACTGTGCATGCAAATGGTCAGGTAATTGTTTAAAAGGGTTATTTGCATATTTGTCACCACTGTGCATGCAATCATAGTAATTCTACACAAATATGGGTACTAATTTCTGTAACTGCAGATGTACCCGCACAATTATGGAATCGGAAGCAAGGGAAGATTTAAATACTAATATCCATTTTGTAAGAAATTGTAATACATATGCTTTTTTTTTTAAATTAGCCCTCTACTTTTATTTCATTGACCACTTTTGTAATAATTGGGCCTAAAAATTTACCCTAATTGTAAGCTTAACTGTGGGAAAGTGGATAAAAAGTTTACAAAATGTTCCAATCACGTGTATCAATAGATGCAAAAGGGAGACAGACTGAATCAGTTCAAACAAAAAGGCCTGCTGATATAACTCAAGGACTGTGTTAGGACCACGTCTGGTAAACAAGAGAAGAGTGGAACTGGAAATCAAAAGAACATAAGAATGGCCATACTGGGTCAGACCAATGGTCCATTTAGCCCAATATCCTGTCTTCTGACAGTGGCCAGTGCCAGATGCTTCAGAAAAAACTAACAAAACTGGGCAATTTATCAAGAGATCCATCCCCTCTCATCTAGTTCCAGCCTCCAGCAATCAGAGGTTTAGGCACCCAGAGTAGGAGGTTGAGTCCCTGAGCATTTTGGCTGGTATGCATTTATGGGCTTATCATTCATGAACTTATCTAGTTCTTTTTTGAACCCAGTTATAGTTTTGGTCCTCACAAGATACCCTAGCTACAAGTTCCACAAGTTGACTGTGCATTGTGTGAAAAAGCACTACCTTGTATCTGTTTTAAATCTGCTGCCTATTAATTTCAGTGGGTAACCTCTGGTTCGTGTGTTATTTGAGAGAGTAAATAACACTTCCTTTTTCATTTCCTCTATGCCATTCATTCTTTTATAGACCTCTATTATATCCCCCCTCAGTTGTTTCTATTCCAAGATGAACAGTTGTCTTTTTAATCTCTCCTCTGACAGTTGTTCCATATCCCTAATAATTTTTGTTGCCCTTCTCTATACTTTTTCCAATTCTGTCTTTTTTTTTTTTTAATTAAAAGATGAGGCAACCAGAACGGCACACAGTACTCACGATGTGGGCATACCATGAATTTATATATTGATGATATTTTCTATCTTACTATCTATCCCTTTCCTAATGGTTCCTAACATTGTTAGCTATTTTGACTGCTGCTGCACATTATGTTGAGTATGCATAGCTAATTTAGACCTCATCATTTTGTATGTGTAGTTGGGATGATGTTTTCCAATATGCATTACTTGACATTAATCAACACTGAATTTCATCTGCCATTTTCTTGCCCAGTGACACAGTTTTGTGACACCCTTCGTAACTCTTCTCAGTTAGATTTGGACTTAATTATCTTGAGTAATTTTGTAGAGTCTGAAAACTGTGCCACCTCACTGTTTACCCCTTTTTCCAGATCATTTATGAATATGTTGAACAGCACTGCTGTCAGTACAGATCCCTGGGGGACTGTGCTATTTACCTCTCCCCCCTGTGAAAACTGACCATTTATTCCTAGCATTTGTCTCCTATCTTTAAACCAGCTACTGATCCATGAGAAGATCCTTCCCTCTTATCCCAGGACTACTTACTTTACTTAAGAGCCTTAGGTGAGGAACCTTGTCAAAGGCTTTCTGAAAGTCCAAGTTGACTATATCCACTGGTTTACCTTTGTCCATTTTTGTTGACCCCCTCAAATAATTCTAATAGATTACTGAAGCATGATTTCCTTTTATAAAAGCTGTGTCGACTCTTCCCCAACATATCCTGTTCATCTACGTGTCTGACAATTCTGTTCTTTATTACAGTTTCAATGTACCTGATACTGAAGTTAGGCGTACCAACCTATAATTGCCAGAATTGCATCTGGAGCCAATTTTAAAAATCAGCATCACATTAGGTATCTGCCAGTCATCTGGTACAGATCCTGATTTAAGTGATGGGTTACATACCATAGTTAGTAGTTTTGCAATTTCATATTTGAATTGCTTCAGAACTCTTGAGTGAATACCATCTTGTCCTAGTGACTTATTACTGTTTAACTTCTCTTTTCCCCAGAAAGGACAGTTTTTACCATTTTAAATACCATCTAAAGCCTGGTCTACATGTAAAATTTAGGTTGAAAAAAATCCACACCCCCAACTGCTATAGCTATGCCAACCTAGCCCCGACGATAGATGTAGCTAGGTTGACAGAAGAATGCTTCCATTAACCTAGCTACCATTGCTTGGGGAGGTAGTGTTCCTGTAGTGAAGCAAAAATACCTTCCATCACTATAGCCTGTATCTATACTATGATATACCAACACAGCTATGGCACTGCATAGCATAGCAATGGCCTAAATGACAGTGAAACAAGGGTGGTGGCAGGGGTAGGTTCCTTTTTAAAAACTCTCTCCAGGTATTTTAAAATGAAAGACTTATTTAATACTTAATATTTCAAATGCTTTAAATTTCTTTTCTGTATCTTTAATAAAAGGTTAAAAGGATGTTTAATGATGTGTTTGCCACGGTACCAAGCAGGCTGAGGGGTCTGTATCTCAAACCTTGTTTAAAACTGTTTAATGCTGGACAATTACAGGAGCACGTTAACACTTTTGACTCTTTAGGCCCATTTATTCCATCAAAATTAATGTACCACCACTTGCCTGCATTCCTAGGCATATCAAAGTGTGCAAATACCTGCTCTTTACAGACAGAATGTTACCATCCTTTAACTACATTATGCTAATATAAAAGTGCATTCATTCAGTCATCTTTTAAAAAAAAACCTGTAAAGACAGTACTTCAGAGCTTTGGCCCATGGAAAGCTTGCAGCAGACCCGTCCATGCCTAGTTTTCTTTTCTATAGCTCTCAAAAATATTGTGAAACAACTTAACATTTACTACAAAAAGTTCATTTTTATAGTTTATGTGAGAAAAAAAGCCTATGAAATCTGATTGTCACATACTAAATTCAATGTTTTAATTAATTTACTAACTTCATACTACAATTCAAACAAATCTGAAGTGTTTCAACTATAGAATACAACATTTTAGTTATGATTTTTAGAAATATATTGCACAGAGCCCTAATAATGTTGTATAACAATTTATGTCTAGTAACTTTAGATAGCAAAACTTGTTTTGGGGATTTTACATAGAGAAATCTCATTTTGGAGCATAGATTTTTGAGGACTGATGCTGGAAGAAGTTCTGAAGTCTCATACATTAAACTCATACAATATTGTATAAGCCAAATCTTCCCTGAGGGATGGCTTCTTTCCTATCTGTAAGTGGAAACTTTAAACAAAGTTCTCTCTTTTGTGGCGAGAAGAAAGAAGTGG